GTAATGTATAATGATAGCAATGTATAATATAATAATAGTCCGCTCGACTATTTCATTTTCTAGTGGTCCTGGTCCATTGTCAACAAATGTGTTGTGTGGGCCCTCTGGGAATGATGCTAAAAAAGAAGCTGACTCAGCTGCTTCCTGGACTGTGAACAACATGGTAGAAATTTGGGCAGTCACCTTGGACTATGAGTTGACCTTGGGGATAGAAGCCACAAGCTAGGAGGTAGAACAGAAAGATGGAAGAGATGTGAGTCCTGAGGACTCTGGAACCTGCACAGTTTTGACTAAATACTCCAGATTTCCTTTACCTGAGAGAAAAATAAAATTTTATTTTGTTTATGCCTCTTCTATTTTCTATTTTTTTCTGTAACATGGAGCATATCAAATTCTAAGTGATACAAATAACATTTTCTGCCATCCAGCAGAATATTATTTTTGTGCTGGGTGTTTTGATCAAAACGTAAATAAATATACAACCCCCCCAAAACACCATTAAACAAACATAAGCAACAACAAGATAAAACAAGAGCCAAGGAGGTCAATTAAGTTTGTAACACATTTCAATCTAATGCTTATATGGCCTACGTGAACACCCATGGTCTATAGGAGCAAATTAAAGGCTCTATAAATTACCATAGAAAGGAGAGCTGGTTAACTTTGACCCAACCTTTCCTGGAAGTAATTATTAGTCCATGATCCCTTTCTCATGAAACACTTGTTAATACTGTGAATAAATGACACCATGGTGCCATTTTAAAATAGAGCTCAAGCAGCCACTGCAAAGAAACTGCCTTCCCTGCCTTTGTTAGAACTGGCCCAGAACCTTTGGACCAGCTGCTGGATAAGTCAGCAATAGAACAGACATCTTAGTCACAAGAATGGTTGTGGACTTGCTCCACACAGAATCAGGAGCCAATCAATGTGAAACCCAGAGTAGCTTAGCTTGTTAACACCCACAGAAAACTCTCTTTTTCTTTTCTTACCTCAAATAATTGGTCCCTTTCCTTTTTCTCTTCTGCTCTCACCCTGCAAGTGCGACACTATTTGGGTTTCTACCTGAATCTGTGCTCCTCGGCCTGAAATTCTTCGATCCCAAAATAAATGCTCATTTGCTTCTCACTGTAGTTCTTATTTTCAGGTTAACAGCATCTTATAGTAAAGTGGTCTTGGAATCATTTTAGGAAACATCACTTTGGAGACTGCACAGAATACTGGGCATAATGAAATCTTGGACAGACCCAGGAAAATGAGGAGGGTCTCAGCTCTGGCACTAAATGCCTGGTGAGTCCATCTTCTGTAGAACAAAGGACTCTGAATTAGGTTGCTGATAAGCTTTCAGCCCTAAACTTCTGTTAAGCTGTCAGATTATGTCTGACAAATAGCTATCTTTTGGGTGTTCCTAGACTTAAGTGTATGGAAGTAACCTACTTCCTATATTTAAAAAAAAGCTGGGATGCCTGGGTGGCTCAGTCGGTTAAGCGTCTGCCTTCGGCTCAGGTCATGATCCCAGGGTCCTGGGATCGAGTCCCGCATCGGGCTCCCTGCTCCGCGGGGAGCCTGCTTCTCCCTCTGCCTCTGTCTCTCTCTCTGTCTCTCATGAATAAATAAATAAAATCTTTTAAAAAAAATAAATAAATAAAATAAAAAAATAAAAAATAATAAAAAAAAGCTGAAAAGAAAGTCTCATATTTTAAATTCTTCCCATCTCAAAGAAACTTAACCAAGAATTGAAAGTGGTAATTTCCTCATGACTTTGTTTCCTGACTTGCTTTACAGTTACGATAATTTTTTCTGTCATGGCTGTGAGGGCTAGTGGTGACATCCATGAGTTAATTAGAAGATGCAGCAGGGTCAACTATTCAGATGAATAGATTGAAATTGTTGACAAAAGCAATTGCAAATTAATGCTCCTTTTATCAAAGCCTGGTTGAGGGCTGTTGCAATCTGCAGAAATGTGATTCTTTACACTGAACAGAAATGTCTTCCAATCTGGCTGAATTAAGCAACTCAAAAAAATTGAGAAGGAAAAATATGCAAATGCATTTGCACTTTTGGCCAACCTTCTTATGTATATGATTTGATAGTTTTGCTTTATGAGTAGGGAAAATGGAAAAAGGGTGCTAATTCTTCATAAAAATCTGCATTGTTGAAAGGCAAACTCACTGAAATAGCTTGATAACTTTTTGTATTTCATTTTTAATTGAATTTTGAAATGTTTTCATATATTTTTGTCTTATAGAATTTAACTTAGTCCTATTTCCAATAATAGGTGTTTTAACAAGTGAAATTATTTTAACATTGTTAAAAATTATATAACAATCATGGAGATATATATTTTACATCAGTTTAAATTTATCAGCATAACTGAATATAAAAAAAACCTCAAAGGACATAAATCTTAATTTGCACAAAGGAGGAATTAAGAAGGGATTATTTACTTTAACTAGGATTTTCTTGATTCAGTACTTTCCCTCATAGCTTTGCTCTAGACAGTTAAATCAACAATTCATTGAAAATGTATTCTGACTGATAAAACATAGTTTTACAGACCTTTGTGCAAGCCTAAGGAAACCCAAACCCACACACGTATAGTCACCTCTCTAAGGCTTCTGTTTGTATTAGGTATATGGCTTGGAGGCAAGCCCATGGAAAACCAGCTGGACAAAATGTCTCTATCACTCTTTAAGACCATGTGGGACTGATGGTAAGAGTTGCAAGTGTAGGTCATTTATCAAATGCATTTGTTATGGCCAACAGCACAAAATGAGGCTGCTTGCTCCACTCTTATTTATTATCTGCTTTTGGTAGTATTCTTGGTTGCCTTCAAAGACTGTGAGCTTAGATATTAACATGGAGTTTATGTTACATAAGGCTCTGGTCATTCTGTGACACTTTATCAGCAAAAGCAAAGTGCCAATTCCCTCTCTCTTTCTGTGGCCCAGTCAGGATGGACAGCAATCACTAGATCACAGTTGCTAAGGGGCACCTAAGTCAGGCCTGGCCAATTGTGCTGCAGGCTGCTTGGATAATGCATTCATGTCCTTGCCTCAGGATCCTCACTGAAATCTGGGTACAACAGATACAGTTGATGATATAACCCACTTTCATTTCCCTGTCTTCCTTGCTAACAAAACCCTGACTTTGTTCAGTTACCACATGATGAAAGGAATGACCTCATCCACAGCTTGGGGTGAATTCCAGTTAGACTAAGACAATCATGGTAGTCCTATTTTCATGCCTTTGATCATGCAGCATTGGGCAAGTGACCCAGATGAGGCTGGTGAGCCTTCTGGAGGGGAGTCCAAGATCTGTTTTCTAGCTCTGAAGGACACACTGGGGAGATGTGTTTTATGGCCTTGTAGTTACTGATCTGGATTGAACATCTAGAACTTCTGATGGCCTTTTATAAAATGAAAGGAACCAACCTGAGGGCAAAGACAAAACACCAAAGAGGGTGAAGCAGAGAGAGGAAATAACCTGGTTCTTTGGTGACATTTCCTTAATGATCATAACTCACCTGGAGCCACTCCGGTTCTAGACCTTTTGTTCTGAGAGATGATGCATTTTCTTATTTTTAGAGCTTATTTTAGATGGCCATTGAAAGCTATTGAAAGGTATCATAGCTGATATATGTAAATACAATTTATAATCATATACTTAGCTTACAGAATTTTAGGGTTAAAACACATCTTAAAATTTAATGGAAGAAAAATAAAATATTAAAGTAAAAATGGGTAAAGCTTGATCATTTTATTTTCCATGGCCTAAAACTACTTTTAGTAGTTTACCATAAGTAAATGCAGACGGTTGGTGATGCCATAGATTCTTGATGAGACATTACTTGAGGTGGCCAGGTTTTTTCTAAGCATTCCAGAAATATGTTTTAAACATATACACAACTGGAGGGAGAAAAAAATTATGGGATATTTGGGGATATGAATCCCTAGCCAGGCAAGAGGGTGAGGGAGTTCAGACTAAGCAAACTTAAAGATTTTTCTTAATGTTGCTATATAATTGTCAATCTAGGAAGTAAACTCTCGAGTCATCAAGGTGTGGAAAGTCCTCCACATCAATAAGCTCTCTCTTAACCTGATACTCCACCTCCTTTCCAATCTAACAACCCCAGATCCACTTCCACACTGTTCCCGTTTCCCACCAGTACATACTTGCCAGCTCCCAACTCTCAGTGAATAGTCCCAGAGTAGCGACAGTGTTTCTCCCTTCGGCCTATGTTGAGACATGATTCTAGCAATTGGCCTGCTTGTAATGAGAAGAGGTGGAACAGATCTGAAAAAGGACGGACACTGTTTTGCAAGGCATATGCTATAGGTAAGATTCCTGCAAAGGTGTGTCCAGACACAGGTGAGCTGGTCCTCTTGATTCTAGGGGAAAGAGGATTGCTTCTGCTAACCCTGTGGAATAAAGAATGTGAAGTTTCGTGATATTCAAGCACAGCCAGACAAATATACTTATACCAGATTTCAGGCTCTTGCCTTTTCTCTGGTAAAGCACTGAATTTAGTATAGAAGGTCTGTCGAGCTGCACATTCAGTGTTCTTTGTGCTCCTGCTAATCTTTTAATTAAAACCTGGGCTGGATATCTAACACAGTACAATCTAATGCTGTGAAAGGTGAGAGTTTCTTTAAATGCTGCCATACAGTGCTTACAGCATTGAAAGAAAGCCCTGACATGATAGCTTATTCATTGGAGCCTATCTTTTCTTTTTTCTTTAATGATTGATTCCAAGACAGATAGGGAGAACTTGCCAATACACGATCCTTATAATTTCTATTGCTCTCATCTTGTTCATGTGCTACAGCTACTGAATAATCCAACACTCTCCCTTCCACCTGTACTTCATCCCAGTCCATGTGAGGTGAAAGAATTGTGATGCTCAGCATGCCAAAGGCCAATGTCACTTCACTTTCCACCAGCCCCGCCATCTTTGCTGCCATCTGATGGGCGAGTGATCCATTTCCAGTATCCCATTCTGGGGTTCTATTTTCTAGGATCACTCCAGACCCTAACCGTGTATGAGTTCCTCCAAAAGCAGAGGCCAGGATTTGGGTAAGGGTAATTTATTTAGGAATAAGAGAATCCTAGGAAGCAGAAGGGAGGGAAAAGGAAGAGCGAAACAAGGAATAAGGAAGAGTCAACTCTGTGGGTTGCTGCTGTGGGTTGAGGTAGGGGTATTGATTCCATGGAGGAATGTGTAGCTAACCTTCCAGAATTATCCTTCTGAAGGACAGAAGGCTGGGACATTAATCCACTTTGTACTTATCTCATATTCTTGAGAACTTCTCCTGGGTACAGGAATCCCTTGTAATTCTCTGGCAGCTTCAGAGACGTTGGGAAGATACACAGAGCTCTTGAGGTCAAATGTTGTCAGTGCACAGTAACAACTGTGGATGGAATTTGACGTGGGCACAGGGCATGTGACGTGGGCACCAAGCCATCAACTACAGTTCATATCTATAGATGACTGCTCCTGACTAATAGATGTATAATATTGCAATGGCCTATTACATATTTCTGTGTATTGCTTGCTACTGAAGTTCAAAGCATTTGATTTGAGCATGCAAATAAAGTATGTAAATAGAAAGCTCACATTAATGCAAATGTATAAAGCAAAACATACTAAATTGAGGCATATTATACACTATTCCCCTTATTTTTCCAGGTAAAACTCTATTGCATTACTTTTATAACTTTGGTCATTACTACATAAGCTGAGGAATACTACAATGCAATTTTTTTAACTTTTTATTTTGAAATAGTTACAGAGTCATGGGAAGTTGCAAAACAACATAGCGTCCCGTGCACCCTTCCTCCAGCTTTCTCCAATGCAATACAATTTTAAATCTTTCTCCATCTCAATTTTACAGACTGCATATATACAGCTATAAGATTAATCTTTGAAAAGCATGCACCTGATCATGTTGTTTCCTATAAATATTCAATTTCTCCACATTGGCTATTGTCTGTCTTGCTTTTAAGACTCTTTCCCCACCAATTCTATAGGTTTAGCTCTTTTGTGGGGTTCATTCATTCACCAAATATTTACTGAGAACTTACTAAGTGTTTGAGATACAGTAGTAAAGTGTTTTAGATACAGTGAACAAGGCTGGCAAGACGCTTGTCTTCCAGAAGGGAAGATAGATGATCAGTAAACACTCCAGTCAATAAACATACTAATAAGTTACCTAAGTCCAGATTATGGTAAGTATGATGAATGTTACAAACAAGCCGATGCTATGTAAAATAACTAGGACAGTCCTCTCTGAGGAGGTAACCTAATGTTGTACCTAAGAAATTTAAATAGACCAGCTCTGGGAAGGAAGAGAGTTTTATCTTTAAGCAAAGATAAAACAAAACAAAACAAAACAAAAACAAGTGCAAAGACCCCATTTGGGCCTTGATTTGAACAAAAACCAGAAAGGAAGCCAGCCACTGAGGAATGAGAATGATAAATGGTTAGTTTAGCAAGATAGAGAGGGAGGATATTGTGTAGGACTTGTGGTTTGTGGTATGAATTTAGGGTTTTATTCTAGCTGCAATGATAGATCAGTGGAGGTTTTTGAGTAGGGTGATGACATGATCTGGCTCATGCTTTGGAACATCACCGTCAGATGATGCTGTCTGCAGCAATGGGAATGTTCTCTGCACTGTTCAGTATGGTTGCCATATTAGATGAAATAGGTTGCTACTGAGCCCCTGAAATGTGGTTGTTGAGAGTAAGTTATCAGATTTTTAAATTTTGTTGCCCTTTATTTAATTCTAAAGAACGTGTAGCTAGGGGCTACCATATCAGGAAGCAGAGCTTTAGAAAGATCATTCTGGTTGATATGTGAAGAATGAATTGAAGGCAGACGTAAAGACAGAAAAGTGGGTATGGAGATGCCAACTGGGCAACTATTGATATAGTCTTGGCAAAGGCTAATGGAAACTTGGACCCTTGTGGCAGCAGCATTGAGGACGGGTGGATGGTTTTCAGATATTTTGTAAATAGCAAACAGGACTTGTTGATGGATTAGGGTGGGGAGGAGTGAAAAGAAAGTGATGATCCAAAGATGACTTCTAGTTCTTTGGCGTGAGCAACAGAGTGGGAGGTGCCAATGATTAAAGATGGTGAGACTAAAGGAAAAAAAAAAAAAAAGATTTGGGACAGGAAAGAAAACATCTCTTTTTAAACATTTTAAGTTTAGATATTTGTTTATTTTTATTTTCTTAAGATATCTATATATTATTACCTTTGTTACTCAATGATTCAGATAAATGAGACAGGTCATCACCTCTAAGCAGGTTCTACATCTTTATTCTATCTGTGCTTTGGTTATGATGGCACCTCTGTTTGAAATACCATCTTTCATTTTATCTAATTATGTTCCATGCAACAGTAACAAACATTTCTAACCTACTTTTAACCAAGACCCATTGAAAAGAATATATTTTATATGATCACCAAGACACATATATTTTGAAATGAGAATTTGGGGAAGGATATTTAACCTTACTGCTTATGATGTCCCCCTGACATTCTCTTTCCTATTCAATTTGATTTGATTCTTTAAAATACTGCATGTATTCAATAAATTTATTTTTCTACCACCAGAGTCAAGGCCTAGAGTTTGAAATTCACTTCTTCAAGACTGATGTCAAATATTGGCTTTACTCCTTCTTCTAAGGCTGCTTTTATTGCTTCTCTGTGCAGAAGCACATTCTGCCTCTCTTCCTTACCACACTTAGCCTTTCCTTAATGATACTCATTTACTTTTCCTATCCATCTGATTCACTAACAAGTTCAAATAATGAAGAGATAATGATTATCGTTTATATTGCATAGAACAACATCGGTCCTCAAATAGGTGTGGGATTGGGGTGAATTGGAAGATGTATTCTACTGCACTGTATGTGACACCACATCACCTTAACACCCAGCCACTTCATGCTTTCAGAGAGCAGAGCTAGCAGCTGGCTCACGAGCAGGACGCTACACTCTGGGAGTCACATTCAAGCAGCGGTAAGAAGAACAACTTCCACAATCCACAAGCCTTCTGAATTTTAGAGCTGTATAAAAAGGCGATTAAGAATAAGTGAAAAGGGTACAATAATTTATAACTTCTGACTTATATTTACCCGACAATTACATTTAATAATGCTAGGGCAGCAGGGTGATTCATTGAGGAAACCCAATCTCCACTGCTTTGCCTTTCCCCAGGACACTTCATCCTGAAAGTCTATACATTCCAGATGCACAAATAAGCCTTTTTGTGCATTTGTGTTGGCAGAAAAGAGAAATTTCAAGGTGCCTAGTTTGCCCAGAAGAAAATCTCTAAACCGGTTTTTATATATGAAGACCTTAGACTTACTTCAATGATTAAGCTGGATTTGCCAAAGCCAGGGGAAGTTTGGTAGTGAGGAAGACTCGGAGAGGGTGCCATTGGATCCCTACAACTGGGAAAGAGGATAGGGATTTTCCAGGTGTCAGAGAGAATTGTACCTGCCCAAACATAGTTCCTGTAAAGGAGAATGAATTCTGGAAGGGGATGTCTGTTTGGTGGCCAGTTAGTACCAAACACTGAGCTTTGTAACCTTGGCCAGGAGCCTCCTATATTCAAACTTGGCCCAGTGGGAAAAAATGTCCAGTGTCGCTGTTGGCATTAGTTGACCAATGGAACCAAGCACAGACCCCAACATTGGCAACTGGGGCCTGTCCTATTTTTTAGGATATATTAAAAGGTGAAGGAAGGGAAAAATGAAGAGGGGAAATTGGAGGGAGAGATGAGAGACTCTGGACTCTGAGAAACAAACAGGGTTTTAGAGGGGAGGGGGGAGGGGGGATGGGTTAGCCCGGTGATGGGTATTAAGGAGAGCACGTACTGCATGGAGCACTGGGTGTTATACGAAAACAATGGATGGTGGATCATCACATCAAAAACTAATGATATATTGTATGGTGACTAACATAACCTAATAAAATTTAAAAAATTAAAAAAAAAAAAGGTGATGCAGGTCCCAGGGTTTTTATATAATAAAAGGGGTAGAGATGGAGCCTTGAAAACCGGCTAGAATTAAAAATTCCACCAACCTTGGGGTTTGGAGACTTCAGCCAATATTTTAAAAACTGATATTATCTATATTCCAAGTGCCATGGAGCATTCCATTTCTGTTCTACAATAGTTATAAAGTTAAAAGTTAAAACAAAAACAGAGTTCTTATTGCTCTGGAGGTATCTGGCTCAATATACTTATTTTCATTCTATTCAGTAAAATAAAGCAGGCCAAATAAATGGCTTTCTCCTCAGTGTTAAGTTCCTTTCTCTCCGGTATGTTGGAAAATCAATATTGCCTTGTCGAAGACAATGCATTGACCCATAAGGTGTTAGTGTGTTTCCTGTTAAGAAATACTTACGATGTGAATTCTGGCATTTGAAGTGACTAGACTAATGCTTCGCTTTTACAGATACTATCATTGTATAAAACCAAAGTAAGCAAATCTTTTCTGCCATTGGCCTGTGGGAAGGAAACTGCAGGTGAAAATAACATGCTATTATTTCTCTCATCTTTAAAAACAACAATGACTAGCAAAACCTTCTCTTCTTCCTCTAGCTTCTGTTTTCTTCTTTTTATACAAATAATACTTAAAAGAATCGTTTATAATCTTTATCTCTTCCAACTGTCTTGCACATGCTTACATTCCTGCATCTAAACTGCTCATATGAAAGTCAGAAATGTCCTTCATTTCTAGGTCAATGGCTAATTCAAGTCCCTATGTTTCTTGACCTGTCAGTATTTAACTCAGATACACCCCTGCTCCCTCAACACACACCCTTCATGCACTGTTTTTGCTCAGCTTCCAGACACCATGGTCATCTGGTTTTTCTCTCATGTCTCTGAAACTCCTGCTCAGTCTCTGCTGGTTCTTCCCCACTTCCCAGCTTCTAACTGTTGGAATGTTCAGGCCTCAGTTTCAGGTCCTTTTTTTCTATCTATACTTGCGTGATCTCATGCAGTAGCCTGGTTTTAAATACCACTGAAATGCAGATGATTCCCAAATATTTATCTTCAGTCTGGACCTCTCTCCTGAACTTGAGGCTTTAATCCTGCTGCCTTCTCAACATCTCAGCTTGAATGCCCAATAGGCATCACAAATTAGTATGGGTTGACTAAAAATGGAATGAATAAATACCTTTATGAGAGGGACATTCACAAGTCACAGTCTATGTAGACTAAGGCTTCCAGTGTTTGTTTGTCTTGTATGGTTTGTTACAAACTTACTTTCCACCTTCTCTTCCTCTGACTTCTAAGTAGACATCAGAGTAAATGCTTGGTAGACTGTGAGACTTGAATTTTGGGCAACAAAGCATTTAATCAACTAACCAGAAAGCTTACTAAAAACTCCAAGCAAGGAACTTCGACTTCCTGGGACTTAGAGGAGAAGGAAGAATTTAGTCATTCATTCAACAACTATGGGTCAAGCTCTGTTCTAAGCACTGGAGAAATAGCAGGTGATAAAGTAGACAAGATCCCTACTCCCCTAAGATTTGCATTATAATGGGGCAGGGGAAGCAGGAGAGGAACAGACAATAAACAAAAGCAAATAAATATACAACATGTAAAATGGCAACAGGGCTATGAAGAACAATAGTACAGGGAATGGAGAACAAAGTGAAGTGGCATCTATGTTAGACAAGGCGATTAGGTCCAGCCTGTGTGAGGGGATGAGGTCTTAACAAAGGCTTGGGGAAAGGGACAGACAGAACCATGCATATTCCTAGGGAAAGAGGTTTCCAGACAGAAAGCATAGGCAGGGAAAAGGCTCTGTAGAAACAGATTGCTGAATGTGTTTGTGAGAATACAGTGACTACTATATAGGACTCAATTGCTATTTGGCTTTGTTTCCTTCTTTCCCCATGCACAGTAAGTTAGGGAGATCTTTACAAAAGTATCCAGCACATCTATAAAATATATGATTCTAGTTTAAGGAAGATTATATCATTTACGTACTATATTCCCTTTGCTTTTCTACATTAAAAGAAATCAATTGTCTAGGTAAGAATGGGAACACAAAATGATAGCACAAGCCATTTTAATGGAAGCATCAGTCAAAACCCAGTGTGATCCTGTCTGTGGATACACAATGCGGTACCTGAGTATAAACACAAATATGCAGGCTCATTTCTATTTCTGTGGAATGCTCAACACAAGATGTTTTCTTGAAGGTAGAACATTTGTCATACTGTGTTTCTGACCACAAAAATGGACTGGACAGTTCTTATTTTCCTTTCTCTTCTCAAGAACAATTTAAATTAACCTAAATCAGAATATTTGGACATATGCTTTCCCTCTTGTTACACAAAGTATTCTGTTTTGTAATTATTTCTATTTTGAGTTGCATTCTCTGGCAAGTATTCTTTCAATGTTTAAATCTCATTGCCCTGTGATGCACTGTTTGTTGGTTACTTTGGGGTATTGGGAGATTATGAATGAAGAAAACACTCTTATGTTACTTGTTGAGAAAAAGCTGTCCTCATTTTTCTGGGAGGCTCATTTTCCTAGACAAAGCTGGCATGAGATGGAAAAGGGTACAATCTTCCTTTCCAGGTAATAAGGTTGGCCAAATTACTCCATGCAATCTATGGATCGAAACATGGTCTAGCCAAATTGTCCAGTTTCCTATAATAAAGATTTTTTAAAAGAGATTTTCTGTACTAGAGAAGATAGGCTAATTCCCATAAAAGAATTGAACTAGTTATTTGTACATAGAGCCTTTGTTTCTTAAATTCCCAGCTTGGCTACGGCAAATGGCTCTGGCTAGTTCTTTGGTTCCTCATTTCTCGCTTTTCTTGTACCTAAATACAAACAACTTGTCCGTTACTTCTTCTTGGTAATTTGTGCTGCAAAATCTCAAAAAAGAAAAAAAAAAGCTAATAAATTACATTGCAAAATTATCTTCATGTGTCATCCTTTGAGTTATTAAGTTGAAACAGCCCTTGGTGCCCTGTAGTAATAATTATTAAAATCTTCCCCAGGTTAGAGGTTAAGAAAATAATAATTAAGACTATCCAGTAGACTCCTAATGTTAAATGATGTACTTTACAACAACTAGGAGGTAAATGTATATTTTAGAAAATTAACACTGAGCATATTGAGTGTATGTATATGGGCCCTCTAGCCCATATTTTATAATGAACTCCTACTCACAAACAACAAAACAATTTTTTGCCTATGAATATTCATCTTTATGGTCAAATCAGTGGTTTCACATGCAACTCTTTCCGCTCAATTAATAGAGCTGATTTCATTCCACTTTCTGGTTCTGAAACCATGGGGTGGGGCAGGCACTGTGGAGTGTCAGGTCATAAATTAGGAAATATTTAGTTTTATACCTCGTGATTCATTAAATTTACCAATAAAACCTAGCTTACAAGCATCTACTATAGCATTTTATTTATTTTTTTAAAGATTTTATTTATTTATTTGACACAGAGAGAGACGGAGAGCAAGCACAAGCAGAGAGAACGGCAGGCAGGGGAGAAGCAGGCTCCCCGCTGAGCAAGGAGCCTGATGTGGGGCTCCATCCCAGGACCCTGGGATCATGACCTGAGCCGAAGGCAGACGCTTAACTGACTGAGCCACCCGGGTGCCCCTGCTGTAGCATTTTAATTCCATTTCCACACTGATAAAATGTACTAGAAATCACAGAGCTTAAACAAGAAGAAAAACAAATCGGGACAATTACTAAGGCATATGGATTAGCAAACTTTCTCTTCACTTTGTCTGCTTTAAAGGATTCTGCCTTTGCTGTCACAGTTTCTTATCATTCCCTGCCTTTCATGGAAAATTTTGGTAGTTTTTCCAAATCATATTAAGATAGAAGTTGGGGAAGGGAGGAGCAATACAAGGATCAGTGTTCCTGCGAGCAGGGTGGGGGAATGCGTCCACTCCCCATCTTCCTGAATCCCTACTGTACTGACCCGGCCAGACCCAACTGCGATGCATCCAGCCTGTGCAGAACCAT